AGAGGGCCCACAGCAGCACGGAAAACCTCAGGATAAGGCAAAGGGCAGGGCCAGACCAACGACGTATTGGCCGTCATGTTGACAGCAGCTATCATGGCACGAAGGAATGAGGAAAAAGGGCCCTTGCATTTTAAAATCCATGAGGGCAGCGTGTGCCAAAAGCCGGGCACAGACAGCGAAGGAGCAGCAGCCCACTGAGTACTCGAGATCGGGCGCCTCGGCAGCAGACCCTCCTCCTCTTCGGCCACCTCTCGGAGGCAGACATGCTTAGCAGTAAAGGGGCTCGCCCAACCGCCACAGGCAAAGACGGGGTGGACGTCTGCACGAGCACGCAGGCCAATGCACACAGAGCTCCCACGCTTGACCAGCTCCGCGAGCGTAGCTGGAGAAGACAAGTCCCTGCGCCCAAAATCCCTCAGAAAAAACCCAAAACTGAGAGCCCTGCGGAAGCTGATCTCTTCCTGAGGCCTCTGTGATCGCCTGCCAGGCACCGCCGAAGCCAGGCGTTGATGTTCCTGCACACCGTGTCGCGGTGAGTGCGCGGGAGAGGAGGGATACCCTCTGGGCGAGCTGCGCTCGCGGGCCCGGCCGGGGCCCTGCAAGGGGTACTGAGTAGGCGAGGCCGCCGTCGAGGTGCTGGCTGAAACTGAAGGAGGCGTCTCCAGGCCAAGTCCACGGGGCGAGGGCCGGGGAGCAGGAGTAAGGGGCAGGCCAAGGCAAAAGGCGAGGCTTCGCCGTTAGGAGAGCCGCTGGCAGGCTGGGTCGCAGGCTCGACCCCCAACACCGCACAGAGTTCAAGAACCTCCAACTGGAGCTGTGCAACAAGCCGCTCAAGCTCCTCAACCCTTGCTTGCATCAGCCAAGAGGCACAAAAGTCCAGGACCGGCGGCGGGCCGGCGAGGAAGGCCAAGGCAAAATCCAAGGCGGGTTCAGGGTGCAAGGAGCAAATCCACACAGGAGGCGGGTTAGGGTAAACCACAAAACCCCCGGCCCAAGACTTCTAGGAACCCTAAGGACCGCTAAGCCGGTAAAAGTCCGCCTGCAGGCGGGTTGCAAGCCGCCTCAACAAGGCAGCACGGAGAAGCCAGAAGGCCTCAAGAGCGGGCAAAAGGAGTAGCCCTATCCCTATACCCAAAAGGACAGACGAGAGATGGAACTCAGGAATGTCAGGGCAAGGGAGGCAGGGAGCACAGTCGACCACAGGGATGGCAGCAAGCAAGCGCAGTAGCGAAGCGACGATCGAAGCAGAAGACACCCCAGCACCCGACACAAGAGCTACGTCTCACATGAACCGAAAAGCTTAAACTCATCAGCTGAAGACATGTCAAACATGATGTTGATCCTTTCTTGCAACAGGGATTGAACAAGGAGTATGAGGGAAGAAATTGTATGAAGGCTTGACGGCTTCTGAGGACTGAATATAAATTCCATAAATTGCTTTTTCATCGAAGCCAACAAACCCAAAAGCTAAGCAAGAAATGCCGCGAGAGCTAGATTTCGACACAAAAATTGAGAGCGTTCCGCGCGCGAGCTCAATTTGAAGAAAAAACGTGAGGACGCTCCATGCGACAGCTCCATTTCGAGGCCAAAATTCTAGGACGCTCCGCGCGAGAGCTCGATTTGGAGACACAATGTGAGCACATTCCACGCGAGATCTCGATCTCGAGAGAATGTGTGAGGACGCTACACGCGAGAGCTCCATTTCGAGGCCAACATGTGAAGACACTCCACGCCAAAGCCACCATTAAAAAAGAACATCCCCATAAAAAATCGGCCCTCCGGTTGTTTGGGGCGCTCAGGGTCTAGTGCTCCAGATTACCATGGCTTCATTTTTCTCTCTGAAATATGAAGGAACAGCAATTCTGGCTGATGTGGTGAATCCCATTGGCAGTTTTTTTTTGCTGCACAACGGTTGAGGTGTGCAATTGGCATGTCTAAAGGGCAGTCCTCACCGGCATGTGCAGTCCAACCTATCTGCCTATGGTTTGACCAGGTTCTTCAAGGCTTCGGGAAGTTTAGGGCTTTGGGTAGTTTGAAGTTTAGGGCTGACTGTTTGGGTTACATCTGCTGAGAGCTGTTTTGGGTGGTTGGTGTTCAGGGCTTGGGTTTTTGTTGCGATGCCTGCGTGGCGGCACACTTAGTGAAAAAGAGTAGGAGCATTTGTTGGGTATCCTGCTATGACCTCTCATCCAGCTCTCTAGCCTGCACGGAAGCAGCAAAGTCCACAGGTCCCTCGAGCCTGCTGACTTCTGGCGCGTCCAGAGTCCAATCTCAAACGACTGCGAGGAAAGAAAAGGCCTCAAACAAAGCTTTGCTGCAGTCACACCGATGAGACCACAGAAGCTCTGAGCAAGACGCTGCATTCTCTTCAACGAGGGGTCATCGCTGGGTAAATGCCTCGCAGAAACTCAGATGATAACACAGGTCAGGTTGACTGGTTCTTGAGCTACAACAGCGAAACAATATTATCAGCGCTAAAGCTTCAACTGCAGTGTCCATGGAGGGTTCAAATCCAGCTGCAAGCTCGGAAGTGGTGCAACACAGTATGTACCCAACTGCACAATCCTTGGAGTGCTGAAACATGATGGTAAGGCGCTTCCACCAAAATTCGCGCTTCGCTAGGGTTTGCTCGGATGTGAAAACAACAACTTCCCACATGCTGCTTGAATCTGTGCAAATCCAGACTTTGTGTGTGCTGGGTCGCATGCCTCTCATCTTCCGATGCTTCCAAAGATGCGTAGAGCACCAAGCAAAGCCCACCGGCAACTTGGCACAAGATGCACCTACCCCAGCATTCTCTATGAACAGCGCGCTGTACCGCGCTCTGAAATTCTCAGGGTAAGGCTGCACAACGGAATGATGAATTTCCAGCAACTCGTCCTCACAAGCATTCCAAGTGCTACAAGTTCGCAGCAGCTAAGTCATTCTGATCTATCATACAGACTGAATCATGCCCTGAGAAACTCATCACCCTCAGTGGCTGCTCCTCTGCTGAGGGTAGGCATTAAACCTGTGACGTACTGGGCATCAACAAACTGTCTTTACCTTCCAGATGTCTAGGTTCCTGGCATTGCCCCAGAGGGCCCAAGGCCCGCGCCACTTGTCGTGGCTGCCTTGGTCACGGCACACAGTACAGGTGGCACAGGCCTAGGCACCGCACTCTGCTGTACATCGTGACTACAGTGTGGACACTTGCAAATGGATAGCAGAAGCCAATCGTGACTAGTCCCAATGTCCACCCAAAGACTCCCCTGAAGGAGACTGACACTTGGGCCGCTGCTATGTCTCACAACCTTGAGCACATCTCTGGTAAGAAAGGATAATGCATGTTTCGTAGAGACATGCTACAAAGAATGTTCCATGTTCCACCATACTGGAGAACGAAATCCAGGAAAACAAGACGTGCAAAAGCGCAACAGATGCACAAGGAGACATGAAAAGCAGCTTGCACTTGCAAACATGGGGCTCATGTCGCACAGCTCGTGCAAGCTTGAAACGTCCTGGGACGCCCGCAGTCTTGTAACTTGAGCCCAGCAAGGTGACCCAGCAAAGTGAAAGGGCGATGCATGCTTAAGTGTGCAGAAATTGAAAGCTACCAGACCTAACAACAGCTGGGAGCTTCATACGATTCCCTTGCAAAACCATGCAAGCGACTGAGCAAGAAGGCTGGACGGCACTATCGAAACGCTGGGCTTGCTACCAAAATGTGACAAGTCTCTTGGGTTGCTACCAAATACTGGCCCCTTTTTGCACGAGGCTGAAATGCCTCCTTGCCCGCCTTCGTGCATCAAGCCGGCAGCCTTTCCTCTTGATTCGGATGAGTCTTCAGAGACGGATGGTGTCCTGCTGTTCGGCCCATGTCACGCATAGAATCGCAACATCCCGCCATGACCCACGACAGGAGTGGGCAAGCCGTTGGGATAAGCAAGCTGCTGTTCTAGCGAGGATAAAGAAAGGGCTTTCTTATCTCTTTGTATTGTAGAGGAAGGCGCCTCCGTTCGGCTTTCTGCTGATGAACATGCTGGTGGAGCCATCTGCAACTTGGCTTGCCCACCCCTGGCTGATCCCTGACATCGTGCCGATGTCGACCTCGGAGCTCTCAGAGGGGTCGTCCATACCAGGCTCCGATGGATCATGAGCTGGGCCAGGTCTTGGAACACGCTGCAGAAGGTATGGCTGCTACAGGCCCCTGGAAAGGTTATCTCTGCCAGATTCCCTTCGCCGGGGATCCTCAGGACATAGGATGTGACAGTCACCAGGCTCATGGCACCTATCTGCTGGCACACCCTTCGCAATTCAAGGATTTTGGCACAGCTGCGCGAAATGGCACACACAGCAGTTCGTGAATCACTCCGAACCACCTGTTGTTGACCATGATTTCCCACAGTCCTGAGGATGTGCTTCACCGCGCAATGCACGGATCTGGCTTCCGCCACTGACAAAGTGAGCCGTCGCCTGCAACGGTAGCAAGCAGTGGTAGCCCAGGTACGATCAACCGACTGAAAGTTAAATGATTCGAAGCCCTGACTGTCTGCATCATGTGCCTGAAGCATGGCTTCCACCTTGAAGTCCCTCGCCGGCCTCGCCACGCTGATATCTGATATGCTCCAGCTATGGCCAACTTAGGAATTGGTCGATTCATGATCCTGCATCTCGCAACAGATCGACCTTCAGGAGCAATCAAAAAAATGTTCAACTTTACGAGTGTGGTAAATTACTTGGAGACAATCCAAGCCTACACTAGGGGGCATACACAAGAGCAATACAAACATGTTACACTGCCAACCTTTGCCAGTGAGGCAAAACTCATGGCGGAAGACCACACTCCAAACACTTGGCGGTGCCTGATTGTGTCTTCACCCTGTCCCTCCACCACACCAAAGCAGCTTACTCCTGGTCAGCCATGCGGAAAGCCTGTGTGTTGGTGAGCTTTGTCGGAAAGATTTACACAGAAGTTGCAGCCTCGTGCTTGGCCAGACTTCTCAAAGGGATTGCGCAGGCTACGGCACATCAAGGTGCAAAAGATTGATGCAGCGCTGATTGCCACAAGTCATTTTGAAGGGTTCCTTCGGCAGCGTGGACAATCGATCGAAGGACTCGTCATCTATGAACAGTGCAGCCAACACCCGATTGACGTAGGTTTGTGTGTCGGATGCATTATCGCGCTTTATCCACAGAAACGCCTCGGACCCGGAACACTCACCTCGCCAAAGTACATCACCGTCTCCTTGCAGGAAGTCAGTTCCAGCATCTGTGTTCTCCGCAACTTGCTCTAGCACCGAGTCAAGTTCAGCTGCAGAGGAGAAAAAATCCGCTGCCCGCGCATGAAGGGAGTTTCTCCATGAACTAACGACTGATCTCACTTCTTCATGACTGCGACGGGTCACAGTTTCTGCTGCAGCCGCTTTCTTCCTTGCATCCGGTTCTAAAGCATTGCCTTGTGTACTGTTTGCACAAGCGGCCGCCTTCTCAAAATGCTCCTCACCAAAAGCATCCTTGAGACGAGCTTGTGCCAAACGCAAATTCTGCAAATGACACAGAAGCTTCAGTCGTTCTTCTGTGCAGTCCTCAATCCAGCAGTCCTCAGGCAATCTCTTGCATATCTGAGGAGCCTGCTCTCCCTGAATGATCAAATCCTCAAGGAAACGGTGGAAATGAAGACTGCAGCGATTGGTAATCTGCTTTGCATCCAACTTCAATGAGAAAGTGAAGGCTGGTGCCAGGCGCTCCACACGAACCAATGGGCATGCTTCGAGGGAATCCGCAATTCCTAGCGCCTCGCGGATGCCTTTCAGGGGAAAGGTAGCAAACAGCACCTTGCCTGGTAGGCATTCATGCAGGCCGATGTCTTGCCAGAACAGCTGTTTGAAAGATGCGATGGCAAGACTTAATCGTCCAATGCGCTCGGGTGTTTTGTCTTCCTGCAGAGCGGCATCCAGCTTTGATTGCACATGTGTTTTCACCTCGAGCACCGCGCGGAGCAGCTGCTGCTCAACTTGGCGCAAGCAGCTTTCCAAATGATTTGGCCAGTCAAAGACTCGTCCGTTCCCTGGCGGCCCGAGCGTAACTGCCTCGGGGATGACATGTAACATGTCGTCTTCAAGGCGAAGCAGCAACTCATGAAAAAAACCATCGGATCGCCACGGACTTGCAAGAACCCTTTGTAAGATTGCCTGAATGCGATTTGCAAATATCTCCGGAATCTTTGGACTGGACAGAGCTCTGTATCCAAACTTGCTCAGCTTATCACCGGGGCATACAGCTGCATCCTCTTCAGCGAAAGTGGCTACGGCACGAAGCGAGGCCGGCAGAAGGTCGCTTTGAAAACAAAGTTCTGCAATGTGGTGCAATGCCATGGCTCGCGGCAGTCCCAAAGACTGTTCGCGGCTTGCTGTCAAAGCTTCCTGTTCTTGAGCTAGCCTTACAGTGTCGCTTAGCCAGTTATCACGGACAAAGTTGTCCACGGCATCTTTGATATGACGCCAGAGACTGTTGCAAGAACAGCGTTGAAGCAAGAACTGCTCATCCAGAGTGTCACTCTGAACTGAAGCTCTTGCGGCTGCCACCCATTGCGTAGCAAGTTGCTTGAAGTACTGGACTTCCCACTGCGCCATGGCGTCTACTCGGGAGAGGCTCAACCAACCCCTATCTTCATGGATGTCATTCAGAGCAGTCAGTGTGTAGCCCAGCGCAAGAGGAACTCCGCCTCCAGCATCTGTTGCTCCACGCAGCAGTTGCAGAAGCCGAGGACCGTGGTGTTTCAGAAAGGTTGTATGCAGAGTTGTCTCTCTGTCTGTCAGGTCGCCAGTCAACACATCTGTCATAGTCAACACACCGAGAGCTCTGCTCTCAAGCCCAAGCTCTTGGACGAGGCGCATAGCTAGAGAGTTGTTAGGCTGCTCTGAAGCTTTAACTGCAACTACAAACAAAGCAGAGTTGCGATGCTTCTTAGCGAAAGTCCGCACCAGAGAAGCTGTCTCCTGCGCGACATCTGCTGGTCGCCCCCTAGCCGATGCCGCCACCAAACCGGGACAATCTACGACATCTAAATTTGGGGCCTTTGGTGAGCTGAGTTCTATGACCAAAGCTTTCTTTGTGCACAGTCCATCGGAGGGCTGTAGGGGCTTCTCGCTTACTGCGGCAGAGTAGTACTCCGCGTCCTTGTCCGGCACTTCCTGTCGTAAGGATTCCAGTCGGACTTGCCGAGTCATTTCCTTCATCACTTCATCACCTAGCTCCTCCAAATCAATTTCTGACCCCTCGTCATCAAAGCGCTGCGTCAAAATGTCTTGTACAAGAAGCTTCAGCTTTCGTGTAGGCCCCCTCCTCAAGCATACCTTGATCAGAGAACGGGTGCAAAGATCTGCATTTCTAGGAAAGATGGGCAAGCCAGTCAATCTTTCCAAGAGAGTAGACTTTCCGGTGCTTTCTTGACCTAACATGATGACCTGTGGAGCACTCCAGTGCTCACGCTCCACAAGTTCTTTCAGCGGATCAATGACATCAAAGAATCCAGCACATCGCTCTGCACTCCAGGTCTCAAGAATGCCTGAACTCTCATTAAAAAGAATGGCTTTCAGTTGCTCGTTGAATTTCTCCACATCTGGAATGGAGGAGAGGATTGCATCCACATCCTCTTGCCGGCTTGCCTTACACTTGCGAATGTCCAGAGTTGCCCGTACCCGCCCAATTTCAGCAGCAGCGCTTGCAGGTACCACACTCCTTCGAGCCTTGCTTGCTGCCTGCAGCTTCTGTGGAGGTGGAAAAAGCATGGCCACCTGATTCAGCTCCAACTCCTGCCCCTTCGCGATTTCTGCCATGACCCAAATCCGAGAGAACACTTCGAAAGCTTGATCCACCACAATGATGTGGCTTAGCTTCCGCTGGACAGCGCCAGGCACCTCCTTGTCGAGCACCGCCATCATGGCATCAAACTTGTCCTCACGAAGCTCGGCAGGCAACCACACTCCTAATTGCTTGCGTCCTAGGCTTTAGACGGTATGATCAGATCTACAACACAAAGCCGGACACAAGTCCGGCTTAACTTATGTATGATGAGAAGACCCCCCAAATCTGCATCAAAGCACAGGTATGGCTGTCACACGTCCAAGCCACCATTTCGCAGAGCGTTGAATTGTTCCAATGCTTTGTTGCGCCACAGCTGCAGACTTCAAACTGTTGCCCGGTCACAGGGTCATGTGTCTCTCGGTGATGGTACTCAACCGCCTTCGCGTGCTCATCCTGCGACTCTGCATTCACCACCGGAGCGGAGGGTAGACTGCCGCAAATACTTGCATGTTGGTTCACGCAAAAGAGGCAGAGCCAAAAAGTCATATGCAGGGCATCCCTCCGATCGAGCTGATGCCGTAAACCTTCGAAGTCTTTCTCCTCCAAAGCTGCAACTGTCGAAGCATAGCTTGTCTCTCCCAAAGCATAGGAAATCAACGCAGCCACCAAATGGCAAAACAGATTTCGCCAGTGATGTGAAACCATTACTGTGGCCAGCACCGGCTTGTTTGCTTCTGCCAGAGTTGAATAGGCGCAGCTTCCGAAGGGGGTCACTTTGCTCACCGGAATAATGGCAGCGCGGACGACGTCAGAAGTTGTGTGCTTCTTAGGGTCAAAGTGCACCATTAATTGACGCCCGTCATCTCCATACAGCGTTCCCTCTACCAGGCTCTGGTAAAAGCCGAGAACATGCCCCAGTTTGAGGCCACGTTGGGCCAAATCTTTCACTTTAGCAAACCACGCTGCTTCTTCATCATGCGAAGTGGTACTGGCACCATCACTTTCCTGAGAATAGGACGTATGCTTTGCCATGGCCACATGCTCTCACATGATCTCGCCAAGCAAATGCAAGCAAGGCACATCTGCAACAACGATCGATCCGCCACAGCTGCTATCACTGGCCCAAGGATCTGCTCCTGCCATCTTCCTCATGTAAGGTGAGCGGTGATCTCGGCGGTCTCCTGTCACACGTTTGAAAAAATGGTAACAAGCGCCAAATAACAATTACCAACAGCCTCGTGCTCCAGCGCCATGATGCTGCGGTGGCTGCACCTCGTCACACTGACCCATAGCAATAGATTGCATTCCATGGTCTCATGTATTAACGATCATGTTTGCCGCACACCCTTGAACGAAATGCAGGCTTGCGCCAAGATGAAAGATGATGCTCGCCTCATAAGCCAATTGCTCTCGGCTGCACTCTTCATCGTCTTCATGGCCAGCTGCAATGGAGGAGTCACCAGACCCGTCTCGCTTGTCTTCCATACCAGCAGCCGCACTCGTTGAGGAGGCTTCACCGCAGGCCTCCGGCGTAGCATCTGGCGCGGCGTCATTGGAGTCAACTGCGCGGTTTTCCGTAGAAGCCTGACAGTTCCGAAGCACACTCGGAACCATTATGGCTTAATCAAAGAGATCTTGTGTCCGCAACTAAAGATCAGCGAGTTTTTATGAAGAATCTCCTAACTCAGGGGTTAATCAGCAACTCGGCAGTAAAAATGCAACGCGCCGTTGTTTCTGATCTTAAGTACAGATTTCTTGACCAAGCGTCCGTGTGCTCGACCCTTGGCTCAACTTCCTCTGGCACCAGGGCGTTGGGCTTGCAGAAAAGCCCTCGCTTCTTCTTGCAGCTGAAGTAACGAACACCATTCCTGAGCTCCACCAACGCTGAGCCAGCTGAGCCATGTCCGGAGCTCACAGCAAGTGCCAAGGGTATGGAAACAAAGTCAGCCACCTGTGGCACACTTTCCAGTCAAGTATCACGCTGCCGTCGTTCTTGCCAATTGGCCGATCCAGCTCCACACCAACCCAGTCTCCCGCGGCAAACTCGGTCGTTCCAGTGAATCGTACTGTACCTCTCAAGCTGACCTTAACAACTCAGGCTCACTCACAAAAAAAGGCTTTCAGCATCTGCATGGGAAGGAATGCTGAATGCATCCACGCAACACTTGTGGAACGTGCTTCCCCTGAGCAAATGGAAGAATGTGTGGGCTCTGACAGCATCTGGCATGTTACAATGCTTGTCTGCAGCTGATCAGAAAGCCTGAGGATGGAGTGGACAGACAGACTCTCGTCCCCAGCTTCCATGGCTCGGACAACGCATCTTGTGAGGACATGCAAGTGGGGAGGCGGGTATTGGAGTTCATGCAAAGCATGAGATTTAGTCAGCACAAAAGCACTCAGACACTGAGTGGTTAAACATCTAATCTAGCATCATGCTTCCAGCTCGCATTTTCAGACTCGCTTGATCCAGACAGCCCGTGCCAAAGTACAAAAATCACATATGTGCGAGTGACCTGGCCTGATGCTCAAGGTCACCCTTTTTTCCCATAGCGAAGGCTCAAGGACAGTTGTTACCTAAGCTCGAAGGCTTCCATTCGAGATGTTCGTCCGGGTATCTTCAAATCAAACGTGACTCGGTAGCCTCGCGAAAACTCATCATGACGCTCCACTACCGTTTTGCCTGTAAGTAGAATGCCACCACCCCCCTCAACCGCCTGCCTGAAATAGAAGACAGTTTGCTTCCAGTGGGTGGCTGGCTTCGAGGGAGAAGTGGAAAGCTGCCAGCCAGCATCCCCAAACTCGCACTCAAACCATGTCACAATGCCATCTAACCGACTGCCAGGAGGAAGCGTCACACGCAGGTCGGCTTCAAATCTCTCAAGGTCTGCACTCTGCACTGTGTGCATATCCATGCATAGAACTTCAAACGCATCTCCCAAAAGCGCTTTGGGATCGACTATGCGATGTTGTGGAGCAGAACAAAAGGTTGCTCTGGCAAGCGGCATCAGTGAGGACATATCAATGCCGCTAACAGAACGCCAGAAGTTAATCTTCTCCTCGCGCCAGCTATCTTGAAGTGGTGCCATCAGCAATCGACATTTTGAGGGCAGCATCTGACCACCCTCTTTGAGGTAGCGATCTCTGACTGATAAGACAGATGGCAGCATGTTCTCAAAAAGCAAACAGTATCCCATCCATTCACTGATTATCACATCAGCTTTCTCACCGTCGTCCAGCTCTAGTTCCTCTGCCAGACATTCGTGCACTGCAACAGTTCCAGGCACGTTTGTATCCACCACCTGCCGCAGAAAGTGTGCCAGTCGGGATGCTTCGATTGCAACGACTCGTCGAGCAGATCGAGCGCACAATACAGAGAGCAGCCCAGTACCAGCGCCAACATCAACAACCATTGCGTCTTGCCATTCGCTGGCATAATGATCAATCGCGGCTTTGTATGCTGCAACACGCATCGTGTCCTTCAGCATCTCCTCATGTATTCCAAGATCAGCATAAGAATCCAAGTACACTTGATCATCCTTATCCTTCTCCTTGTCCTTTGGTACAGTACGCTGTTCCAACAGCTTGGAGAAAGATGCCATGTGACCAGAGAGACCCCCAAGCATGGCCTGAAATTCAGGGCTGAGCCCTGCAAGGCCGGGATCGGTTTCATCTTCCAAGTCCATTGCAGCGCTGATTTCAGCTAACAAGAGAATCTCTTCAGCTGAAAACACGCAACCAGCCTAGCAGTTGTTGTCTAGACTTGGCTTTGACATGTGTCCAATGATCAGTTTGCTTGATGTGTTCAACCAGACTGCTGCATCACAGAGTTGTTACACTCGTTGGTTTTTTACCAAAATGTTGAGAAGTAACACTTCCATTGTCAAAAATGCCAAAGGTACAGACTGAAGGGAAGGGGCCGCAGCGGAAAAACGACGAAAGAGTACAGTGCAAGGAAGGATACAGTAAGCTTCTCTGTCGGAGACACTCTAGGTGCTCATGTTCAGCAAGCTGGCTGCTTCACCAAGCGAGCTGGGCTTCGTGGAAGGTGGCATTGCCATCCAGATCTTCCCGCGGAACACCTAAACATACTCAGAAAGCCTCGACTTTCACGACGTTCACCTCGACTTTTCTTGTAGTCCTGAAAGCAGGGCAGGGAGCACTCATGCCGCTTGCATTCCTTGCGAGATGGAAGCCTTCGGACTTGGGCCTGCCCTGCAAGCATCTGGCCTCGGGCTGAGCTACAAAAGAACAGTCAGTCCGGAGTTTGGCATGTTGCGGTACCCTGTTGGTTGCAAGATAGCTGCGAGAAGGCAAGCTAGCACGACCTCGCGTACGTCAGCTTGGGGCACAGCTGCAGAGTCTGATTTCGGATCCATAAAACAACCAGAGAGTAAGCAAGGCCGAGACACCAGCATGGATACTGCACAGGTGCTCCATTCAGGGACATAGCGAAATGTTGAGAGAATCAACTGGACGCCAATGTATGCCACGATGAAAGCCACGCCGTACCTAAAGCAGTTCACTGCTTTGCGTGCCGGAGTCAAGTTTTTCAGCCTCGTCAATGCCAATGGTTCTTGCACATGTTCGTCCCTCAGGCCCTTCCCTCTGCAACTGCAACCCCTGGGATCCGCAGTACTCAGTACTTCCTCACAGCAATAGTCACAATGACTGTGCGCCCAAATCTCTGCAAGTCACACCCTATGTGCAGACGAACCCAAGAGGAGAGAGCGGGGCTGAGTGGAATGCTCCTGAAGCGGATGTGCAAGCAAGGATCTTGCCTCGTGGGAAGCTTTGAGCTGAGCACCCCTGTTTCCTTCTGCCCTTTTCTTTGTTGGCATAGGAAGCTCTCTGTCCTGCTCTGTACATGGCCTCTAGCATGTGTCCATTTGCATGGGCGCTATTGCCCGGACTTCTGGAAGCACCATGGTGCAAAGTTACATTTATGGCTAACTAGATTGTCGTACGCATTGTGTTCACATTCTCGGGTGCCTCTGGAAACGCATGACGTAGCTACCCATTTGGACCGGCACTGGCCTGCACTGCTAGCTCCGGTTGCATGGTGCATTCCATTGCATAGAACGTTTTTCCTGCCAACTCCTCATTCCATTCTTACTTTGATGCCGTGGTTTGTTTAAATCGAGGTGGAATTACCAAAACAGGAATGCAGGCGAATGCACCAGTGGCTCAAGTTGGTGCCAGGATCCTATGTCGCAGGTTCCCAGTCTACAAGAGACAAAAGCTTTGTTCAGATGGGACCAAATGGATTTCAAAATTGATGACTCAATATGACTGTCACAACTTGGTGAGAATTCGAACACAAACACTGGTATCAATGCCAAATGGACCCCAAACAAGCATTCCCTGATTGCTGCCAAGCTGCTTCAATGCCTCATACGAGATGATTGAAAGTCGATAAGACTCTGCTACATGGACTAGCTGTGTGGCACAGACATGCAATGCATGCATGTTTAGCCTGATGAAGGGCCATTAGAACCAGGCAGTTGAACCCTGTTTCGGCAGCCTCGACTTGCTGGACAAGGTCGTGCACAATGAAAAACGCCGCGCGAAGTGAGAAGACTGCCATGACAGTGGAGCTGTAGGCAATAAACTGATTTGGTACCTCACTCAGGCACAAACATGATTGCGTCTGAGGTTGCGATAGCATCGAGAGACAGTTCTTGCTCACGCGCAATCAGCAAAATAATCTGTTGCAAGCAGCAGCAAAGCATGCCATGTGTCAGAAAATGACTATGGTTACCTGGTTTCCACTGCGGGAATGGTGCTGCGGCAATTTTTGCACTAACGCTGTCGAGCGCAAACATCAAGTCAGTGATCTCCAGGAGGATGATAACAAAGACCAACCTCGCGACAACATCCTGATTCTGAACAGCCGCACAGTTGGACCTTGAACAAAATCTGGAGGAAACGGCTGCTGCACTGGGGGGGAGGGCAAAACTAGTCAGCAACCCGAATTGTTTGCCGTTGTTGTTTGAAAGTTGCAGCAGTTGGGAAGAACCATTTTTGTGATCTTTAGAATTTAGAACATGGCTAACTCAACCGGCTCATCATACTTATGGACATGGAATGAAAATGTAGCACAACAGTTTCCACCGTTTGTTTGCGCAAACCAAACCAAGTCAGACTACTTAAGCAAACTTGTGCGATGCCGTGTCTATCTTGCCTCGGAAAGCCTGACATATCCGTGATGTAGAGTTTGGGGGACAAGTGGGCGTGGCCAACATGCGTTCAGGGGTGCTTCTGTAGGTTGCTTCAAGATTTTCAGGTTTGAGTGATGAGAAGGTTTCAGGGCCTTGGACGTAATTCCAACCTTCTCATAATAACCCCCCATCAAGACTTGTTTTGCAATTTTGGTCTATGTAAGGGGGATCGTAATAATAAATCCGCGGAGGCCGGAGGCCTGGGCGCGTTTAGATCGAGGTCCGAACACTAAAAAAAGTTTGTTAACCCTCCCCTTACCCCCTCCCAGCATGCACGATCCGGAGGAGAGGGTCCAAACGGCTCTATTTTCGAGTTTGTAGGGGGGCAAGGGGTGTCGGCTGGGGGGAAGAGGGGAAAGGGGTGAGGGCGGTGGGGGAAGGGGGCGGGGAGGTGGAGGCAGCCCGGCAGCTCTGCACTACCCTTGCAACTAGGTAGCAGAGGTAGTAGTACCAGTAGGGACGGGCAACAACAAAAATACCCGAAAGAAGATCGAAGTCAAACCAAGCAAAAGGTATGGGATGAGAAAGTTCAGAATTACGGGCAGGCGCAATAGCTTTGAGGGGTCGGACCAGGGAGCCTGAAACCCCAAACCTGCAAGAAGCTCGAGACTCACCCTGTGTCGTGGCAATGGGTGGCAACCTGAGATCTCACACATACCTCGGACAGATGTCAGCACAAAACTGTTGCCAATTGCCGCGACAGAAGGTGTTTCCATTTCCTTCAGGGCTCGGGTTTTCGGCTCCCACGTCCGACCCCTCAAGATTGCTGCGCCTGCCAGCAGTTGGGCTTCCCTTCAGCATCAATCTCATGATCATCATCTCTAATTATCCATATCATTGTCGTTATCAACATCCTCGTCATCATCATGATCATGCTGGGAGCCGGTCGCTCTCACGGAGGTCGATTCTTGGCGGCGCAACCTTACGAGTGATACTTATCATCCTCGTTTTGTTTATACCGCTACGACTACGAATACGGATTACGATGCAGGAATTGCGTTGTGCGGTTTTTGTAAGGAAGCCTGGGCCCCCCAGGCCCCTGGGGCCTGCCACCTGAAACTACATCAAGCCCCAGACGCAACAAGCGAATGCAGTGTTAGTCCTGCACTGTCCCGGCATGTTGCGCCGACTGATTTCCAGTGCAACCACTGAAAACAACAAGGCTGCGGAGTCCCGGCAGACTAGCTTGAACTAATCTTGTTGCGCCACTTGCTTTTGTGCCAGCCGCTAAAAACCTCCAGATTTTTTTGAAGCGCCTCTTTTATGCCTGCATGAGTCATAAAGGGCCACTTGACCCAGGCGACCGTTGGAAAACTCCAGCTGAGGTTTAGGGTTCCGGCTTTAGAGGATAAGGTTTTGGGTTCTGTGGGCTTGCACTGCTCCTAGGTTCAAAGCTAGCCACTAAACACAGCTGCAGAAGTTCACACCTTTTCTCTGGGTTGCTCTGAGTGCGTTGCAGAAGGAGGGCTTGAAAAGGGCTGCGGGCTCAAGCCCGGGCATCCTTTCTTTCCACCCCCTGTGAGAAGTACCAGAAAACTCTGGGCTGAACGTAGTGTCCAGGCTCTGTGAAACTTAGTTGAAGAACCACACTCAGCGTGTGTGGGCCAGCCTGAGTAGGCTAGGCTTAGGTTTAGGCTGGACTGTTGTCCTGAGTTCCCTGCCCTGGCGGGGGCTTGGGAGAGGCCAGCGGGCCTGTTAGCAAGCGAGCTTTTTGTGTTGAAGAGGCTGAGGCGACAGCTGGACCGGTGGTCCCAGAAGTAGCCTGCGCAAGCGGCTGACAGGCTGGTTCAAGACCGTGAGGCTTGGTGAGACTGACAAGAAGGCTGAGGCAGGCTCACCGCGTTGTACGGACCTGGGCAGCAAGGCTTAAGGCTTGTCTGTACACGAGTAGGGTTCGGGAGGGCGGGCTAAAAACTTTGCAAGTAGAAGGCGATCTACCTAGGCTGTTTAAGTA